GCTGGAAAGGTGTGGGGACTTAGTCTTTGTGGATCATTCAGCATGCCACTTTTTTTTTTGTTTAAGTCAAAGAGATTGGCTTCTGCAGATTAACTTTGATAACAATTATTGTAATTTTTCATTGTCTACAATTCTATGGTTTTCAATTTTCTCCTACTCAGTGCAGTCCTTTTGTATACCTTAATTAGAAAGACAATTATGAACATGAGACCACTGATAGGCAATTTCAAACTGATGTGTATTTGTTGAGAAAAGATCTAAAGTATCCCTAGATGTTCATTTTGCCTATAAACAACTGGCAATGAAACAATGCATAAGCATCATCATTCGTTGTGGGCAGGCAGGCTGTACCCAGCTTACCACAAATAAATCAGACCCCATCATCATAGGATTAAGTGACTTGCCAATCCTAATCTACAATGTTTTCATGTTGATTATTCTTTAGGGCATCTTGAAGGCAGTCACACATGGTCATGTGTGACTGCTATATTAGTTCCAATAAAGGATATAGCCTACATTGATGATGCTGGATATATAGTGAAAGTACCTCCAAATTTTTTATCAAAAAAAGAACCAGTTCCAGTTCTATCCTTCCACAATAATGTGGAGGATGTTTGTGTTTATTTTATTGTAGTGCCATGAAATGTAGTGGCAATGATAATCACTGTACACTCACTCTGTCATATACTAAAAACTGTAATGAAATCACACAGTTCACATTTTTATTTCCTATAGGACAGAGATCAATCATTTCATAAACAATTTCTCTCTACCCAATCCAGTGCTTCAATACTCCATGAGTAACCTAGACCTGTTAGGTGGGGACACTTTGGATACTTTGAAACCAAAGAAAATGAGCATGGAATTTATCATACTCACTTCAAACTACATGAGAAACTATGAATGCTACATGTGGAAATCATACTGTTATAAACAAGAATAAGATCATTTCATAAACAAAGGTGTTCATAATGAAGTCACAGATAAAAAAATATCTTTAAAACTCAAGTAAATCTGCAAATTAACATATGAACAAATCATAAAATCACACTCTCTAAGCACAGACTTCACATGCTCAGGCATTTCTCTCATCACCCTCATTTGCAATATTACCTTATATTTCCTCCTCTTAGGATTACCAAGCATAACATATCATATCCCAGACATGTTTTACCCCTAGTCCCCATCCATTCCCCTGTATATTTGAATATTTGAATATTAAATAGTCCTTGATATCTCTCTATAGGTTCCTTTATCCAGGCCAAAAAATAAAACAAGGGAAGCACAAACTCTTGTTTTTCATAAATCATCCCTACTCCTTCATTATTATTAAATAAAAAACGGTCAAAATAACTGTACATACTAACAAAATTCTCATTGAACACTGATTTCTACGTGCGTTTATTTGACCTACATATTACGCAAGGACTTATGGGGAACCCCCCGATAAATCATTAATGACTCGTCACAACGTCGACCAGATATGGAAGTTTGACATTTCCTCCTACCTCCGTTAATTTCCTGTTAGACAGCACTAATGCACCTGTCTTCTGTGCTGTCTCCATATGAGCTTTAACTCCACTTGACGATGTCTGTCCCATGATGTGGCAAGATCAACCAGGACGTAAAATGAGTAAAAGTGACACACTGGCAGACCTTCTGTCAGCTGGGCCAAAAGTGTAAACATTGGTGAAGCGACCGCCGGAGTATCCATTTTCTCCGGTAGTGGGGCGTGGTACAAACTTTTTTTTTCTAAAGGTTGATATGAGATACATCTAATAATAGTTAGATTAGATTTATGACAAAAAATCTATTTAATTACTACTATTAATGTCATCATAATGATAATGGTGATTGTTGTTGTAGCTGTTAGTATTTTTTAATACAACTATCATTCTCATAATTTCAATTCAGATGATTATTAATGTCAGATTTGCTTTCATTATCATTACAATTATCATTCTTGTTTTTGTTATTACTATCATCTGGATTATCATCATTATTATTATTATTATTATTATCAATATTATTATTATTATTATTATTATTATTATCATTATTATTATTATTATTATTATTATTATTATTATTATTATTATTATTATTATTATTATTATTATTATTATTATTATTGTTGTTTTGTTGTTGTTGTTGTTATTATCATTATCATTATTTTATTATTATTATAATCATCATCATTATTTTTGTTATCACAATTATCATTCTTCTTCTTATTATTTTATTATTATTATTATTATTATTATTTTATTATTATTATTATTATATTATTATTATTATTATTATTATTGTTATTATTATATTATTTCATTATCATTATCATTATCATTGTTATTATTATTATTATTATCATTATTATTATTATTATCAATATATTATTGTCATTATTATTAATATTATTATTAATTTATTATTATTATTATAATTATTATTATTATTATTACTATTGTTGTTGTTGTTATTATCATTATCATTATTATCATTATTAGTAATGGCATTATCATTGTTATCATTACTTTTATCATTATTGCTGTTATTGTTATTGTCATCATTATAATTACCATTATTATTTTTATTATCATTATCATTATCATTATCATTATCATTATCGTT